AAACACCTGTGGTAGAGAAAGTGTGGAGTAAAGAAAAGCCAGTGAATAAAAATAAGACTGCAACGCCAGAAGAAGCCCTGCTGCAAGAGTTGGATCATCTAAAAATTCCCACAACATTTGCGCAACTTACGGCTATCTCACCATCCTACACAGAACAAATAATCACGAAACTTCAGAATCGACTTCCAGAGAAAAGTAGTGCAACTTATATTGCTACAGAAGCCACAAAAGTCTCAGCAGCCATGACCACTCCGGAAATAGAAGATTCCTCGGACCCTTGCTACTACAGCTGTGCCTTAGGATACCCAACAGCCGAAGTTGGGGGAGCTAGTGTGGAATTTATGGTAGATTCAGGATCCATGGTAAATGTTATGCCAAGATCAGTAGCGGAAGATTTGGATTTGGAACTAGTTCAAGTAAATATACCAATGAAAGGAGTTGGGGGAGCAAGATGTGACTTAAATGGAGTAGTTGAAAATTGCCCAGTTGGAATTGGACGATTCTCCGGACCAGCACATTTATTTGTTTCGCCCAAGGCTCAGGACTGTATTTTAGGACGACCTTTCTTATTTGATTACGGATGCACTTTGGAATATCACGAGAATGGCGAAACTCTTTCTTTTCAAGGAACGAAGGGGCGAAGGGTGTCAGTACCATTAGCGAGAACGGGCCAAGGAAGAGGCTGGAACAATAAGAAGGATCTCAGTACCAATACCGTGAAGATACAGGACAACAATATACGACCGAACGAGGATCATCGCATGTTCAGAAGCAAATCAAATCAGCATTTTTTATGAATTCCGGTGTTCAACTACGGAATTACTCACTTAAGCTAGTCAAGAGAGTTATATTCAGAACACCGGGTTTCCTAGACTGGCTCAAAACTTTTCTTTTGGATCTATTTAGAAAACTACCAACACTAACAAAAAGATATTTTGCAAAGGTAATGTTATTAAAAAAGAACATTCTGATTATTTTTCTTCTACTTTTGAAAATTTGTAAAACAGAAACTGTACAATTACGGGATACTTTGACCAACCGGGGATCAATGGCAACAAGGAAAGATGGGGTTTCAACTTCCAAGGAAAAGGAAACGACCCTAGCAGTCAATTCAATCAAAAAAGTGTCAAAACCAGTACAACAGAATCGGGAAAGAATTACGGATATTTTACTCACGAAAGGGTTAGGTTTAACCTTCCAAACAAAGCTGTGCGAAAGTTGGCGAGAGGGAAATCTATGGTGTATGACAAAGTATAAACCAGTTGGGAAGAAAGTTCGACCAATAAATCAACCAATTCCACAATTACTGAATCCACCATTAAAGCGACCACCTTTGTCTCGCGATCCATACAAAACCCCGCTTACCCCGCATCCGCCGGAATTCACACCTACGAATAAAATTACTGAAGAACGGTTAAAAGTGGTTAATTTTGGACCGGAAGGATGGCTTTGGAAAGAAGAACTTAAACTATTCAAGCACGTTATTGTTCTCCGAGAGAAGGCTTTGGCATTTTGTATGGAAGAACGGGGGCTTTTGAAACACTCTTACGGACTACCTTATGTAATACCGGTTATTGATCATATACCTTGGCAGAAGAAACCAATACCTATACCGGCTGCAATCAAGGACGACTATGTAGAACTAGTACGAGAACGGATACGGACAGGTCTTTACGAGCAATCCACTTCCAGCTACTCTAGTCCAGTTTTTTGTGTTGCAAAACACGATGGAAAATTACGGATTGTGCACGACCTACAAGAAATGAATCGAGTAACAATCAAAGATGCAGGATTACCGCCAGCAACAGAAGAATTTGTAGAAGCCTTTGCCGGACGAGCCTGTTACGGATTAGGGGATATTATGGGAGGATACGACGAACGGGAATTAGCGGAAGAATCAAGGCCTTTAACCACCTTCGACACACCATTGGGGAGATTTCAATTAACCAGACTTCCTCAAGGGGCCACGAATTCGGTTGCAGTCTATCAAGCTCAAATGATGTGGATTCTTCAAGACGAAATTCCGGAATATGTGGGCGTATTTATTGACGATGGTGGGATTAAAGGACCTCGATCAACTTACAACGATGAAGTTCTGGAAGAAAACCCTGGTATACGACGATTTATATGGGAATATGCTCAAACCTTGGAGAGAGTTCTTTTTAGGATTGAAGAAGCTGGACTCACAATTTCTGGAAAGAAGTTTGCTTGCTGTGTACCTGCATTGGATATTGTTGGACACGTGGTCAGCAAAGAAGGACGAAAAGTTTCAGTACAGAAGAAGAATAAAATCACAACCTGGCCAACTCCAAACAGTCTCACTGAACTACGAGGATTCATGGGAATAGTCACTTACGTCCGTATTTTTGTCAAAAACCTAGCGGAAATTGCGGCACCTTTACGGAAACTCACACGGAAAGACATTAGTTGGGCATGGTCTGGAGAATGTAATGAAGCATTCAACAAGCTCAAACAAATAATTGGAGAAGATATCACCTTGAAGAACCTGGATTATTCGGAAGGCGCAGGACTAATTGTGCTAGCAGTGGATTCAAGTTTCATTGCGGCAGGAGCAGTTTTGGCCCAACAAGAACTAGAGACAGGTTTGAATAGACCAGTGTTATACGAGTCAATAGTTTTTTCACCCGTGGAATCCAAATATTCTCAGCCAAAATTAGAATTATGCGGAGTCTCTCGAATCCTCAAGAAGCTACAAACTCTTCTTTGGGGTCAACATTTCGAATTACAAGTTGATGCACATTCACTTATCCAAATGATCAACTCACCTTCACTCCCAAACGCGCCAATGACACGATGGGTGGCCTTTATTCAACTCTTCTCGTTCGACATAGTACATAAGCCGGGAAAAACATTTACCTTACCGGATGCTTTGTCCAGAAGACCTATCAGTGACGAAGAGGAAGAATTCTATGAGGATCAGCCAGACTTTGATGAAGATGAGCCAGTGATACGAGCAACTTACCAGTTCCGGACATTTTCTATATCAGAAGAACTTTTGGAATGGGAGTCACCTGGATTCTGGATGGACCTTAAAAATTACTTAAGTACAATGAAGCGGCCAACAGGCATGGATCCTGAAGAATACCGGTCAATAAAGCGGAAATCAGTAAACTTTTTTATCCAGGATGGACGACTCATGCGGCGACACTCTCCCATGGCTCAACTGGTTATCTCCAACATCTCTTACCAAAGTAAACTTTTGCGAAAAGTTCATGAAGAATTGGGACACAGAGGATTGGAGGAAACTTATCAACGACTGGTTTGCAGATTTTGGTGGCCCAGTTTGAAGAAGAAAACAAAGTTGTGGGTTCAAAGTTGTGAGGCCTGCCAGAAAAGAGATGCTTTGGTACCCAGGGAAATCAGGGATCCAACTGGAGCAACAACTTTATTCGGACGGGTAGCTTTAGATGTCTGCCATATAAAAGCTGGAAGATATAAATATTTATTAATTGCTAGAGACGACTTATCGGGATGGGCAGAAGCAGCACCACTTGTCAATCTGACGTCAGAAACCATTGCTAAATTCCATCTAGAAGAATGGGTGTATCGGTATGGAGCAATCAAGACAGTAACGGTAGACAATGGACCAGAATTCAAGAACGAGTTTATTACGGCAGTGGAAAGCATTGGAGCAAAATTCAAACCAACTACGCCGTACTATCCTGAAGCAAATTGAATGATTGAGAGAGGCCATAGAGCCATCAAAGACACTTTAGTAAAAATGTGTGGTGAATCTGGAGGAAAATGGAGAGAATATTTACCTTTAGTTTTATTTTCGGACAGAATCTCAACAAAAAGGACGACTGGATTTTCCCCATATGAATTGATGTTTGGTCAAAAGGCGGTTCTCCCTGTGGATATCGAAATGGACACTTACCTGGGAATTGATTGGACGGAAATAAGTACTACGGCAGAACTTCTGGAAGCAAGGACGAAACAATTGGAAAGACGAGACGAAATTTTGGACATAGCTCACAACAAAATGATGGAAACTCGAGAAAACTCTGTTCGGTTCTGGGATCGAAAAATGGCGGCCAGATTACGACAACCACTGAAACCTGGGGATTTGGTTTTAACTTATAATAAAAGTCTGGAGGATCAGTGGGGGAAGTTATTTGAAAACAGATGGAATGGACCTTTTAAAGTCAAGAAACAGCTTAACGGAGGATCATACATACTGGAAGAACTAGACGGGGTTGAATTAAAAAGGGCCTATGCTGCATCTCACATAAAAAGGTTTTATCCACGAGGACGACCTTTGGCAGATATACAAGATGAAGAAGACTCACTTTCAAGCTCAGACTCAGATCTTAACTCAAACAGTGATTCAGATGAGAATTCCTCCACTTCAGAATAAAACATTTCTTTTTTTATCAGTTTCTTTTATAATCATCATCTGTAAAACATCACTTCATCATCATTAAAACAAATCATAAAAAAAAAAAAAAAAAAAAAAAAAAAAAAAAAAAAAAAAAAAAAAAAAATCTGGATATAACTCAAAAAAAATAGTAAAAATATTTCACTTAGCTAATCTGCAAACTCTTTTAGACTCATTTTTTTTAAGTTGGGGGAGGATCATGGAAGAGTAAAGTCATCTTTTTCTTTTAAAGTTTTTTTTCCTACTCAAAACTTTTTTCTTTTTTTTCTTTTTGTTTTTTCTTTGATCTCTTAAAACTTACTTTCAGAAGAACTGACTGTCTCAGTTAATGGTTGAGGACAACCAGCAAAGTTGGGGGAGGGGGTCTGGAAAGTCAATTTGGAAAAATTAAAAATTTATTTACTTAGAAAAATAAGAAGAGTAAAAAGTAAAACAAAGTTAAATAATAGTAACCATGGGGAAGGGATAAGAAGAAGAAGTCACATTTTTTTAGTCTTTAAAAGAAATTTTATATTTTTCAGATTGTTTTACCTTTTAAATTTTTTTTTGGTTTTTTTTTTTTTTTTTTTTTTTGAAGAAGAAGAAGGGGAAAATAAATAATTTAGAAGTTCCTGGTGCTCAAATAAGTAGACCTTTTGTTTCGGAAATGCCACTGCATGTTCTCAAAAAACATTACTCGGCGATCGGATTCGGCTAAAGAGGATGGCGGATACTCCGAGCACATATGAACATAATCGGGAGCGATACCTTCAAAGATGCGCATAACATCTTTTTCGGTATAAATACACACGGCGGATGGCGGGTTGTTGTCGTCAAGGAGGAGTCGTTGAACCCCTTGATGGTTCAAGCCGATATAAGCGGAGATTGGGGGATAGGCCGATGAAGCAGTGGACGAAGCGTCGGACAAGGTTGAAGGCGCTGAGCTAGATTGCGAAGACGGAGCCGGAGAACTAGAAGCCGAAAATAAGTCGATTGGGGCCGTGGTCTTTAAAAAAGGGACCGGGAGTCCGGGGGGAAGCTCCTGAAATTTAAAAACAAAACGGATCATATCAGTAATGGGATCAACAAAAGCGATGAGAAGAATAAAAGAAGAAAGGCTTACCGGATCATGTACGTTCCACGCAACACACACAAACGGGTGCGGATCGTTATGGATATTCATCCGGGGGACTGCCGTCGGGATCGAAGACTAGGAAGAAATAGTGTTATGAGTATCCAACATCAAACAAATGACAAAAATTAATCGACTTACGAGATCGTATCGACCTTGTGGGTCGTAAACAGAGTGCCATTTTGCCTTAAGCGGGAAGTAATACTTGGGAGTCTCAACGATCTCCAACCCTTTCGGTATCATGATCTTGGGCATGATACCAGTATTGGTAGCCTAAAACAAGTTATAAACAAAGATTAGGAATTAGTTGTGGATCAAAAGTATTTGCTTTATAAAGATGAAAGGACTTACTTGGTGGGCATCAGTAGCCTGCGCAGGATTAGCGACCGATTGACCATCCGAACCACCAGCCACGGAGATGTTCTAAAGTAGTCGATCAGGCAAGGATGTTAGAATCAATCCAGTACGCGAATGAATAAGAAAGACGAATGACTTACCGGTTTAACGTCTTCGACGACCGGCTCATCCACGACCATGTCATTAGGAGAGGGTCTAGTTGTTTGAGAAGGCTCTGGCTCCCACACGGGGCTCCACATATCACGGTCCGGGTAGTATCTAATACCGTTCTGAACATAGTTATACTAGGATTGAACGATACACACGTTAGCATCAAGAAGCAGATTCGTTAAGAAACTAATCGCTTACTTCGACCGAAGGCTCAGAGCGCACATCATAGTCCAGGGTGTAGTCGGGGGTAGAGTATCGTGATGACATGATTGAACTGGAAATGATTCTGTAAAGGGACAATGTCGATTGAGGAGTGTGGAGTTGATCTGGTTTGGAGTTAGCGGGTGAAGGGAGCTGATGAGGAGGAAAAGAAATCGGCGACGAGTCGGTGGTATTTATAGAAAAACGAGACCCTTTCCAACTTAGCCACCAATCGATGTGACTTCTCCACGGTATCGGTTGGTCAAACATATCCATCAAGGGCATTCTTCCTTTTCGACCAGTCAAGGGCACACTGAATCCTTTATTCAAAACGACGAGGTTGTGGATATGAAAGAAAAATCGATTCGAAACCCGGGACTGATCAGCTAATCCATGGATCACTACTCGAAAACAAAAGGAATGAAGATTAAAAAACGATCGACGACTAGTGGAACTATGCAAAACTAATGAAAAGAAAAGGAGGAGAAACCGAAAACGAAAGGACACTCACCTGAATGCTGAAGCTATCCGCCAACTCGCCACGGAGATCGACTAAAAAACGATCTAAACTAGTTTAAAGAGAACATAGTTGCTTTTAGATTAGTTAATTAGGAAATAGTGAAACTAGAATACCGGGGAAAACTTACCGGCGGGGAAGGATCGTCGACTAGTTTGAGGATCGCCGATAGTCGAGTCGAGGAGAAGTTGGAAGAAGTTTGGAACGAGGAGGACCCATGGAGAGGCTAGTGCGGAGTTCTAAGGCCGATCGGACCCTGTCACGATCTGTGACAGGGCGTGGAAAGTTAAACCGGGCGCGCTGGGATCAGTATATCGAATAGGCTGCAACCTCCAAAACCAACGTAGTCGAGTCAGTAAGCGCTGCGATTAGCAGACTACTGTGGACCTGAGCTCGAGCCCCACCCTGTGTCAAACTTAGATCACCCAACTTACCTGCACCTACTATGTGCACCCTATTTTTTGAGAGGTCATGGATTAAAACCTAGAAAATCATGGTTTTTTTTTCTTAACTCTAAAAATTTCCACAAGAACATAAAAACAATAAAAATCAGAAAATTTAAAGTTTAAATTGGGTTCAAAAAACCACTCATCTGGCCCAATTTCTACTAAAAATTAAGTCAAAAACACTGTGGAAATTTTTACTGTTATCACTCTAAAATACGGCATAAGCTTGAGCCCAAACAAACTGAATAATCAAACTCAACACCTAATCTGGCACCAAAATTACTATCTCATCAAACTTAAAGTAGACATCACCCAAATCAACTTCACCACGGCATCAATATTCTTGGACAGATCAAGTAAAAATCTGAAAACAAATCACACCTACATCGCAAAAAAAAAAAAAAAAAAAAAAAAAAAAAAAAAAAAAAAAAAAAATCTCAACATTTCTTCACCAATCAAAACTCCACGGATGACTTCACCAACTACTCAACACACTTCAAGACAAATCTCAACTATACACGACCAAAAATGTTCTTTTTTATTTTTTAATACTAGCTCCAAAACACAGTCAGAATCAGAATTGACTGGGGACAGCCAATAAGTTGGGGGAGGATGTGGTAAATAATACTGTGTTTCTACGCAGAAAATATAAAAAATTTCTTATTATCTTTTTATTCATTCAAGATATGGTCAAATTGACATCAAAAATGGAATCCTCAGGTAAAATAACCCCTAGTCACTCACTACAACCATACCCTTATCTCTTATAGTTTAGAAGTTACACAGATTTCAACCTGTCACGGGGTATTTCTTGGACTCTGCACTCTAGCCATAGTCATTATGAATACAGGATGCATATGGCATACTGGATTCCTTTGTAGTAAATTGAATACCTTTACGTTGTTTTGAATCCCTTTGTATTAGTGATATTGCATGTATGCGTCCCTTTGATCATACATATGCGTCCCTTTATTCATTCATATGCATCCCTTTGTAGTAGTATCTTTCAGCCTGTACCCTGAGGCCAAAATCCCTCACATTTGTCTATATAAGGAGGCCTCTGCCTGCCAGTTGTTCCCTCCATCATCCCACCAGTGGACCAGATCATCTCAACCACCCTTATAAATAAATCCATCTTATATATTATTTCATAACTACAAGTCATAGCCACATTACAATTTCAGAATTATATACATTGAAATACAGATTTAACACTTTCATCATCATCATAAACCAGAAGTGCCCTGAACCATATCCATCAACAACAACTTCATCAATA